GAATTGAATAGTAATTTTCATGTGAATAGTACTTAAAGAATGAACTTAAAAGTGCATATGGCAAGAACATAAAAATATGCCATGAATTTTGTGTACATGAAAACAAATTTGCCATGTGAATATTTTATATCTAAGGAGAAGCAAACTTAAAATTTTCATGGCATAAACATAGCTATAGGCAAAAGAACAACATAATTATTCTTTGATGCAAAGACACTACTTGTTGTGATGTTGAAAAACTACATCTTGGTGACACGCTAGTTTCTTTAGATTTGCCATCAAGGTAGAAAAAAAGGTTCCGGGTTCTATTAAAGTTGCCATGATTTTTACTCTAAAAAATGCCACCCGGAAACAAATGTGTCATGATCATGAGATAATGTTTCAATTTGTAAGAAACTACCATCATTTCAATATAATGATTTCCGAATACTTATGTGATGCAACCATGCTACCTGGCAAAATGGCCATGATATGGATCTATTTTGCATTAAAATTGTCATGGACAAAAAAATTCAAAAAAAATCAACAAATTCCCATGTTGTGTATAACGACCCTACACTGTCCACTGGATTTTCACTAGCCATTGTCCACTGGATTTTCATGGCAAATCCACTACATAAATTGCCATGGCTGCAAAATCCACTGTCCCCTGCATTTTCAGCCGAATGAAACCATTATGGGGGGAGGAATCAAGCAGAAACTAAACCATCATATATGACGACGTCCAAGTCGACGACGACGTCCAACGTCCGCTTGGGTTGCGTCTCAACGGGGGCCTCGCCGGCAGATCCGAGGCGGTGGTGGGTATGGAGGCACGACACCAGCCCGCAGGACATGGCGAGGAAACTACCCCGCTGCCTAGAATTTCTCATCATTCTACAAGACAAAGGGACGACACATGGTGCGGAGACGGAGAAGGACGCCACAGAAAACACACCCTCGTCGCGGAACTAGGGCCGGAATTCGAGCCAAGTCGAGCCAGCTCGGTTCGACTCGCTAGAGCTCGTTTCGTTAACAAGCTAGCTCGACTCAACCCGTTACCATAACGAGCTCAAACCCAAGATTGGCTCGACTCATATAAGTCGTGAGCTAGCTCGTTTAGCTTGTTAAACTCGTTAAAGATATGAACATAAAAGCTCAAATATGATAAAAATGATTATGTATATATTAAACATATACATACCAAACAATTATAATTTCCTTGTAACGGACAAGTCTCTTGGGCGGCTGGGCTTCAATGGCTAGGCCTTGTGTTGTATGCGTGGGACGCAGGGTGCTGAGTGGCTGATCTTTTTTGGATTGGGAATGGCTGATATTTTGTACCGAGCCTAACGAGTTACATGAGTACTCATGAGATTGGCTCGTTAAACTCGGTCAATAAACGATCTTAAACTAAAGCTCGGCTTGACTCATTATTCTTCGAGTTCGAGTCAATTCGAGCCGAGTCACAAGCTACTCATTTAGCTCGCGAGCTTCGAGCTTTTTTTTCAGCCCTACACGGAACAGCCGACAAGTGGATCGGTGGGGCGGCGTCGGGAGCACAAATCGCAAATTCGTGGGTGACCTCAAGCCAGTTCGTCGGGAACTGGTCAAATCATCGAATTGCCGGGAACTGGAGGAATCAGGAGGGAGGGGGGGTGCTGAGTGGGGGACCGAGAAGTGGGGCTAGAGACGTGGCTAAAATTTGGATGCCAGATTTTTAGCCTTTCCTTTTTAGACGCGTCTAGTGGGCGGCCGGCTGCCCACTAGTGCGATCCAGCGGCCGGCTAAATAAAGTAAGTACATGTCCCTTTCACATTCAGAAAAAGAAAACTAAGGAAACAACCACCCGATCAGGCCCCACTCGCACTAGTGACTGTTTGGACAGCCGCTGCCTGCATGCGTCTAGTGCCTGCATGCCGATGCATTAAATGTTCCTCATGTTCGTCATTTATGCATTAATTTTTGGTTTTCAAAACTATAAAAGACATATCTTCTAAACCGCGTGTCGAAATTCAGATCTGTTTTCACCATTGAAACTCTCGCGACGTACTCTTCAAAAGTAGATCCCGCACGGGGATGTTTCGACGAACTTGTCTTCCTGCCAACTAAACATCAATATGTGTGCAACTAGACTACATTGCCGTACCAACTGAGCATGTGTGTGCCAATAGTTCTTCCAACTAAATATCAATGTGTGTGTAACTAGACTACATTGCCGCACCAACTGAGCATATGTGTGTGCAACTAGTGTCCTGCCAACTGAACATCAATATGTGTGCAACTAGACTAGATTGCCACGCCAACTAAGCATATGTGTACGCCAAATAGTCCTGCCAACTAAACATCAATATATGTGCAACTAGACTATATTGCCGCGCCAACTGAGCATATGTTTATGCAATTAGTGTCCTGCCAACTAATTATCATTGTGTGTGCAACTAGACTACAATACTACATTACAAGCTAACTAAAATATCAATATGTGTGCGACTAGACTACATTACAAGAGGAGGTTGCACATTGACTTTCGTCGAGGTAATAGACTTGTTGCACATCAAAGTTGTCGTGGTTGCTAGGTTGCAACCTCATACAAAGGTGCAGCTCCAAACATTAATTTTGTAAAACAGTTGCACGATGTAGTACTAAAGTTGCACAATACAGTACTAAAGTGTTGGGTTACGTAGTAATTTCAAAAAATTTCCTACGCACACGCAAGATCATGGTGATGCATAGCAACGAGAGGGGAGAGTGTGATCTACGTACCCTTGTAGATCGACAACGGAAGCGTTAACACAACATAGAGGAAGTAGTCGTACGTCTTCCCGATCCGACCGATCCAAGCACCGTTACTCCGGCACCTCCGAGTTCTTAGCACACGTACAGCTCGATGACGCTCCCCGGGCTCCGATCCAGCAAAGCTTCGGGGATGAGTTCCGTCAGCATGACGGCGTGGTGACGATGAAGATGTTCTACCGGCGCAGGGCTTCGCCTAAGCACTGCAACGATATGACCGAGGTGGAATATGGTGGAAGGGGGCACCGCACACGGCTAAGGAACGATCACAAGGATCAATTGTGTGTTCTAGGGTGCCCCTGCCCCCGTATATAAAGGAGCCAAGGAGAGGGGGCGGCCGGCCAAGGAGGGCGCGCCAAGGGGGAGTCCTACTCCCACCGGGAGTAGGACTCCCTTCTTTCCTAGTTGGAAAAGGAGAAGGGGGGAAAGAGGTGGAAGAGAGGAAGGAAAGGGGGGGCGCCGCCCCCCTTCCCTTGTCCTATTCGGACTAGGAAGGGGAGGGGCGCGCGGCCACCTCCTGCCTCCTTCTCTCTTCTCCCTCAAGACCCATGTAGGCCCAATAACCCCCCCAGGGGTTCCGGTAACCCCCCGGTACTCCGGTAAAATGCCGATTTCACCCAGAACAATTCTGATGTCCAAATATAGACTTTCAATATATCAATCTTTATGTCTCGACCATTTCGAGACTCCTCGTCATGTCCGTGATCACATCCGGGACTTCGAACTAACTTCGGTACATCAAAATGCATAAACTTATAATAACTGTCATCGTAACGTTAAGCGTGCGGACCCTACGGTTCGAGAACAATGTAGACATGACTGAGACAAATCTCCGGTCAATAACCAATAGCGGGACCTGGATGCCCATATTGGCTCCTACATATTCTACGAAGATCTTTATCGGTCAGACCGCATAACAACATACGTTGTTCCCTTTGTCATCGGTATGTTACTTGCCCGAGATTCGATCGTCGGTACCAATACCTAGTTCAATCTCGTTACCCGTAAGTCTCTTTACTCGTTCCGTAATACATCATCTCGCAACTAACTTATTGGTTGCAATGCTTGCAAGGCTTATGTGATGTGCATTACCGAGAGGGCCCAGAGATACCTCTCCGACAGTCGGAGTGACAAATCCTAATCTCGAAATACGCCAACCCAACATCTACCTTTGGAGACACCTGTAGAGCACCTTTATAATCACCAATTTACGTTGTGACGTTTGGTAGCACACAAAGTGTTCCTCCGGTAAACGGGAGTTGCATAATCTCATAGTCATAGGAACATGTATAAGTCATGAAGAAAGCAATAGCAACATACTAAACGATCGGGTGCTAAGCTAATGGAATGGGTCATGTCAATCAGATCATTCATCTAATGATGTGATCTCGTTAATCAAATAACAACTCTTTGTTCATGGTTAGGAAACATAACCATCTTTGATTAACGAGCTAGTCAAGTAGAGGCATACTAGTGACACTCTGTTTGTCTATGTATTCACACATGTATTATGTTTCCGGTTAATACAATTCTAACATGAATAATAAACATTTATCATGATATAAGGAAATAAATAATAACTTTATTATTGCCTCTAGGGCATATTTCCTTCATAAAGTTGCACAAAAATATCATCAAAGTTGGCATCAAAAAAATTTCATTGAAACATATTCATATAGGATCTAGTTTTAAAGATCTCGTCACGACGAACCCAACGGTGAAGACGGATCTGAATTCCGCCACGTGGTTTGAAAGATATGACTTTTTAAAAATTGAAGAACCGGAATAAATATACGTGAACCCGCTTTGTTGTCCACCGGATATAATAAATCTGAAAGCATTTAATGATCAATCACATGCACTAGCAGACAAAACCTCGCATGCATGTGTGTGGGAGAGCGGGCCGCTCGTTTTCTCCGTTTAGCGCGCGGCCACTTTTTAGATTTTGGGTTTTTTTTGTGTGGAAAAGGAGGATCAGACTCTCGCCTCTACAGCATAACGATGCACACTTCCATAGTAGGAGTACAACTTTAAATAAACGTCTGTATTATCAATTGTATCAACCACGTATGTCCCTGGGAAAATATTTGGAGTATTTACTACATACATCCCGATCGAGTAAGGAACGGTAGGTTGAGACATAGCAGGTTTCTCGGGCTCCCATGAGCCAAGAACACCACGTCCACCTTCACTATCCGCCGTCCAGAACAGATTAGCACGTACGCTCAGCTGTCGTAGGTGCGGCACTCGTCGGTCTCGGGGTTCTCCTTGCAGTAGTTCTCGAGCGGGTCGGAGTCCTTGAGCTTGTCCCTGGCGTGGCTGGCCGCGGCGCTGAGCTCCTCCACCTCGTCCCACGCCGCCGCGCACTCCCCGCTGGCGGCGTCCTCCGAGCACGTCTCCTGGGCCTCCTTGATGCTGTCCGACATCTTGTCGGAGATGCCCGGCGGCGTGGCCGGCCCGCCCGCCCTGCAGGAGAGGGCACCGCTGCCGCGGTACGCCGTCGGGAAGGTGACGCGGGCGGCGGCCACCTGCGGCCTGGCGAGGACGTCGCCCCTGGCCGTGGGCGCGAAGGTAGACAGGCTCACGTTGGTGAGCGCGGACGCCATTGCTGGGTGTGGTGGATCGACCGAAATTTTATGTGGGTAGGCTGTAACAAGTTGCTGCGTTTGATGCGGTAAGGTTTGTATTTATAGCACTGGTTGGATGCTTGGGCAGGGAAGCTCGTTGGTGCACTCGTTTCCTATCACATTTGGGCGTTTGGGAGTGGAAGCTTTTACGTGCACCCGTTTCCTATCACGTCTCGGCCAATGGTTCCGGGCCACGTCGTCTCGTCACAGATATTTTTCAGGCAAGCAACTGGAGCGTGGGAGGAAGATCTTTTCTACTTGTCCACGATTGGCAGGAGGAGGACGAAGTGTGTGATTTTCATTTTGACACGGAAAACCTGTCTTTGTGCACGCGTTCTTGGGTGTATGTTGGTGAGAAAAACTGTGTTTGATACGAAATGTATATGAGGTTCATGTTGTGCCAGAGAACAATGGTTTGTACAGATGCGAATTGGATGTGGTTTGAAAAATATCTGAGATATGTCTGGTGTATCTCCTATACATCTGGCATCGGTAAGCCCTCGAATGATACTTGGAAAATATGCTGTGGAGCAGAGGTCCCAAGATGTAGGACCATGTCATTGGAGAAATTTCAAGTCAGTTGGTAGCCTATTTCCAAGCGAGCGCCAAAGAAAACCTTCTATCTAAGTGGAATTTTGAATGCCCAAAGCATTTTGGCGTTGGGAAGAGCTAGTCCCCGTATCAGCTTACCATATAGTAGTATCAACCAGACCAACAAGATATATTTCTACTTTCTGTTTCCACCTGGCAAGATAGAGGAAGTGAGTGGTTTTCATTTTGCCCCCAAAAACTGTCTTTAGCGCACGTTCTTGGGTGCATGTTGATGGGAAATTCCGTGTTGGGTACAAATGTATACGAGGTTCATATTGCGCCGCAGAATAATGGTTTCCACATATGCGAATTGGATATGGTCTAGAAAATATCTGAGATATACAACTATTAACCCGGCCGGTTGCTAGTGAGTCAATTATTTTCGAAAATGGCCATCGTGGGCTTTATTATTGATGATAAATAGTTACATCCTCCACGAGTTCTTCCACTAACTTCCCTACCAGGAAACAATGGTGATCATCCCCAAGTACAAGAAGTTTTTAATATGATAACTGAACTTAGCTAGCTCATGAGCCACCACATTTGTTTCCCTTCAACAGTGCATGAACTTCACTGTCGATCGTCGTTGACGTCTCCACACAATCCACATAAATGGCCACTGCGGCATTCCACCAGCTTGCCTGCCCCATGCACATGTTAATAACCTTTGTCGAGCCGGATTCCGCCTTTAATCTTTCTAAACAAAGTGCATATGCCAAAATGGACTCCCTCCTTCATCGCTAGAGCTTCCATTCTTGCATACGCCAAATGGGCACCATGACATCGGTTTCGTCGGTCCCTTGAGGAGAGATTCCAACATGGCTGATCCCGATTGATCAGCCACAAACACTAAATTTTATAGTCTCTAAAATCCCCAGTCTGCACCATAGATCTGATGCTCGACCACGGATGAACAGAAGGTGCTGAATGCCATCATGCCCTTGTTGGCAAACAAACATTGGTCATCCATACCTACGTGCCTATCAACATGGATCCTTTATGTGGGAGGGTGTTGTGGAGATCTCTCCAACAAAAGCTTTGCACTTTGCGTGGTATTTTCATCTTCCATAGAGCACTCTAGAGTGGGTTGTTCATAGATGCGTATGGTGCATGCATAATGATGGCACCAACATGCTGGTTTCCATTCCAGGTGATACATCGTACGAAAACACCCAACATGGAAAAGTGACACGAGATAAAGTCATAGAAGGCATCATAACTCGATGGAATTTGCTTGATCCTTTTTTTTTTTGCGGGAATTTGCTTGATCCTTAATGCAGCCACCAAGAAAAAGATGAAGCAGGCCAAGGCCTCATCCCATAGGCCACTCGAAAGATCAACGAGGCCCTCAACCTTGGAGATAGGAACTTGCCGGTGCAACGTGTTGTTCATTCTGCTTGGGCTTGAAGGGGTCCAAGGACCCGTCTAGATGTTTATGTTGTGTCCATTCCCTAATCTCCAAATATGACTCTGCTTAAAAGTTTGAATCCCAACCACCAAACTCTGCCAAGTAAGTGAGGAGACCTTCTTGGGACCATCCCCAAGGATATCTCCATCCGGATAGTACTTTGCATGAAGAACCTTGGCACACAGGGACTAGTATTGTAACAACGCATGATACTTGCTTGGCTAACATAGCTAAGTTGAAACCGTCAAGGTTGAACCTCATTCCTCCCAACTTTTTTGGTATAGATAATTTCCACCACCCACTCCAATGCATTTTACTTTCTCCTCATTATTCCGCACCAGAACCCAACAATAATTTTCATGATGTCCTTGCAAATTCCTTTTGGAAGTTTAAATACTCACATCACAAGTCCCTTGTTTGGCCCCGCATTTTGTATTTCTCTTCCAAACAAAATTCTTCATAGATGCTAGTAAAGCTCCATACACCATCACCGCCTTCCACTCGAACATCAATATAGTTTCTGTCAGAGAACAAGAGAGATAACTTCATTTCCTTTCTCCCAAATAAAGCAACTCCTCTTTTCCTTCCATTATTAGGGTTAACTGTCACAAAATCTATTTTGAGATGACGTCACAAACAATATGGCAGATTGCCATCCAAGTGAGTCTCCGAGAAAAACAATACATTGGGATTGTGTCTCCACTGGACATCCAACATATAGCTTGAACTGCCGAGGCGTTCCCTAGTACCCAGCTATTAGGCTAGGGCTCTCATTGTTCCCGGCACAACTCCTCGAAGGAGCCCAGCAATTCTGAGTGTGTAGTTAAAATTGAGTTACCACTTTCTGTCTTATGCCTCCTTGATGCCTCACTATTCTTCCTCATATCATCCTCATTACATGCATCAAGTCTATGAGCATCGGGACAGTGGGAGTCAGGTCCCTCATAGTTGGGTCAGTGTCATCAACCTCCTCTAGAGCCGGTCGCTTCTTGTCAATCACTAGTATAAAAAGGCCCATTTGTCCCGGTTCATAAGGCCCATCTGTCCCGGTTGGGGAACCGGGACTAAAGGGTCGTTACTAATGCCCTAGGCCTTTAGTCCCGATTCTTATACGAACCGGGACAGATGGGCCTCCACGTGACCGCTGTGGCGAGCCCAGACAGGAGGGCCTTTAGTCCCGGTTGGTGGCACCAACCGGGACCAATAAGCTTCCACGTGTCAGCATTTCAGCGGCTGTTTTTTTTTTTGAAAGGAGGTGGTTTAGGGGTTTTGGGGGTTAATTTAGGTTCGTATAGGTAGCTAATAGAGAGATGTGTCCTCTCTTATCTCCGTGCTACTGCTACTGCTATGCCTAAACATGACTTAGATTGAAGTGAGGCAACATGTGGTGCATGTCGAAAGTAATTCTAATCCTAACTTGATTAAGTTTGGATTGTACTACTTTCGACATGCACCACGTGCATGTTGCCTTCACTTCAATCCAATCCATGTTCATTTCACCCACAGATATATAATAACTCTTCATGCTCGCATCATGCATCATCATAATAACAAGTCCTACTAATCATCATCATACAACTTCTACTCGTTATTAATAACAAGTCATACGATCATCATCCTCATAGTCATCGAACCAACCCTACTTAATTGTTCTTAGCACATGATCATCAGTATTAGGTAGGACCTAAATACCCTCTTTAAGGTAAAATAGCATAAAACAAAATAGACCCTGACTCTCCATTATGGAGAATGGAGATCATCCTGTCTCCAATTCTTGCGATTCGCTTCCTTTTGCTTCCAAGAACCTCCTTACGACTGTCCATACATTTTTTCCCTTCTTTGATTTGCATGTCTCCACTTCTTTTAGAAATCTGGTATGGACAGTTGAGATTCGTAGGATGGCCTGGCTGTATGTTCAAAACATTAAGGCTACCTTTCTGATACATCAAATGAGGCACACAATTCTCTGGGATTATCTGTTGAAAAACATAGTAATAACGTCATAGTTAGCAATGATGTACTAGTTTTAGAAGTATGCAAAAGATGCATGGATGTCGCAGTAGTAAAAATCTTGCCAGGGTATCTCCATGGTAGTTACTGTAGTTGAACACATGCACTAGTGGCACGTATTGACCATAATGTTGAGGAGTTTGATTGTAGATATTGTAATTCTCAATGTCAGTACAAAATCCGACCAGATGATTTTTCTCCTTGTAAGTTAATTCGGAGCCATCGGTGCAGTGGGTTTTGTCTACCATCTCCCGCACATTCTTTGAACAATGAAAATAAGCTGTCAACTATTTTGAAATAAACAATATAAATTAGATAATAACTATGTTTGAGAAACTCACATAGCGGTAGAATTGGAGGCGTATCAACAAGGACCCAAATGTCCATATTGTCTTGCTCGATTTCAGGATCACCAAGATCCATGGTGACAAGCATACCCTCATCAAAACCATACATATTGCAAAGTGCTTCCCATTTTTTGCAAGCAAAATGGGTTACGCTCTCAGAATTGTATAACTTTACTTTAAAATTCACATCATGATGAGTCCTTAGGTGAATTTTCTTTGTTTCGAAACTTTCATGGTCTTCAAAACCCATCCTCTCCAAGACATAGCGCCTTGCATGACATGGGATAAGCTACTCGAATTGTAAAAGATGAAAATTACACGTTGAAATAGTTGTAGTCATGCTTAATTACGAAAAACACTTATCGTCGTTGCTTACCGTTTCAACATCGAAGGTCTCCTCGAGCTTAATGTTGAAGCGCCGATCATCGTCCAGGTGACGCATGTCGCACAGACCTCGATCGTCGTGGCACCAGCTGCACTCCCCCGAGAGACTTTTGTCGTCTGATGACGACATTTCCTATGTTCGTAATTCAAAGATTAAACTTGTACAATTAAATATATGTACTACAAAAACTAAATTAGATCATTATTATTCATCACGGGTTGACTATCGGTCTGTCGAGTCTTTTCTTGAAAACTCTCAACTCACATGGTGTATATATTCGACTCTCGGTGATGGTCGCTCCTCACTTTGTCCCCGAGTGCATTACACCAAAATGTCTAGCACACGGGAACGAAGGAGAAGCGACCCCCACGACAATAGTCGGGATTCTTCGCCCTCTCATATATATATATATATATGGTGGAACTCTCCTTCACTAATTCCTCTCTGACATTTGCGACCGTCGGTGATGGTCGTTACTCCTTCCCCTAGTGCATAACAAAGGTCTAGCACCCGGAGAAGAAGGAGAAATGACCCCACGACAATAGTCTGGCTTCTTCGTCCTTTCATATATGGTGGAGACTCGACAGACTTAAAGAAAACCCGAAATATCGTTTAATTATCTTTTTAAAAAAGGATTTGGCTGGTCTCACCTCGAGGTCGGAGGGGGTCGATGACGGGGACGATGGCGGGGATGATGGAGGGGGGCTCCTAGATTTATGCGAAAACAAAAACCATATAAGCTATCAACTAATCATATGCATACGCCTTGCATAGTGCTCTCCAATTTTAGCATTCAAAGTAGGAATAGTTTTCCAATTTGAGCATTCAATAAGCAAAATCAAATCGCAAAATAAAGTAGTATTCAAATTAGGATGCATTCAATTATAAGCAAAACTACATCATCTCTTGCGTCCGTACATCGTCGAATATTATCACTAATACACCTCGAATACTATCATACATATAACATCACTAGTACAGCTAGAACCGTAGCGCCCGACGGGTATCAGCACGGGCGGTGGACACCCAAAGAGAAGGAACCATCACAGGATCGCTCCAGTGAGATCCCTGAAGAACCAGCCATGTATTGTCGAACCTTCCCTCCAACGCAACCATGTAGCGACGGGCGTGCTCGTCCTCCTCGCTGACACGGTGACGTACCACCTTCGCGGTGTCCGGAAGCCTCGGCACCGTCACTGGCCCACGCGACCGCCACCAAACAAGGATCGGGTCAACGACGGGCTGGCTCCTCACCAACCTACGCCCCCCGGAAGGTAGCACATCCCAAAACCATCCCGGCGGAGCCCAGTCCCGGACATGGCCCCTCTGATCAAGCCGGCCTCCTTCGCCAAGTCGACGACGAGGATGTGGGATAGGCATCGTCGACGTCGATGCGGGAATAATTGCTTTAACTAAAAAATAAACTAGTTCTATTAATTTTCTTGCTAAAAATAAACTACCTCTATAGTAAAATAAACTAGTTTTATTAAATCAAGTAGTTCAACTACTAAGCACTTACTATAAATAAAATAAAGTAGTACTTGCCAAAAATAAACTACTTCTATATATAGTAAAATAAAGTAGTTTTATTAAATCAAATAGTTCAACTACTAATTAATTAAGCACTTTCTAAGTAGCACTTACTAAAAGTTATCGGGGAGGGGGGGTATATCTACAACGACATACCCGATAAAAAAATAAGAAGAGGAAGAAGAAAAAGAAGAGGAGAAGAAGAAAGGAATAGAGGAGGAGATCGAAGAAAAAAAAGAAAAAAAAGGAGAAGAAGAATAAGAAGAAGCTTCTTCTCCTCTTTTTTCTTCTTTTTCATCTTCTTATTTATTTCTCCTCTTCTTATTCTTCTTCTTCTCCTTCTTCTTCTTCTTATTTTCCTTTTTTCTCTCCTTCTTCTTCTAAATATTTCATATACATAAATGACTTTGATCATACACAATTTTCCTATACATACACAATATGAACATATACATAAATTGACAAAGAAACTTCTATGAACAAAAAATCATAAAAATTCTATGAACAAAAATACAACAGAAAATATCATAAAAATTCTATGAACAAAATCTAAACTACACATCTAAATTAATACAACTAAATTACAACAACTAAATTAACTACACATCTAAATTACACATCCAAATAAATACAACTAAATTACAACATCTATATATAGGGGGCATGGCGGCAGCGGCGGCGGCCATTACAGGGAGGAGGAGGAGGGGATCGGCGGGCAGCGCTCACAGGGTGCGCGGCGACGGCGACGAGGAGGCAGGCCGGCAGCGTCGGGGCAGGGGTGGCGCGGGGCAGCGACAATGTCGGTCCGGGGCGGGACGACGTTGGTCTAGGGCGACACGGCGTCGGGGCGGCTTGGGACGGCGTCAGGGTGGCGCATCGGAGGCAGGGCGACGACGGCGACGGCGAGATAGGGGACAGCCTGGCGGCGTCGCGGCGGGGGAATGAGCAACTGAACGAAAAATTTACAAGTCCTGCTTATATAGACGAGGCATTGGTCCCAGTTCATGGCACAAACCGGGACCAATGCCCCCTTTAGTCCCGGTTGGTGCCACCAACCGGGACCAAATGTCAGTTTTCGGCAGCCCAAAAGGCGGGAAGCGGCTGCCTTTGGTCCCGGTTCGTGGCACCAACCGGTACCAAAGGGGAGCATTCGTACCGGTTGGTGCCACGAACCGGTTCTAATGCCCCCCTTTAGTCCCGGTTGGTGGCACCAACCGAGACCAAATGTCTCGTTCTGCCCGTGCCCAAATGTTTAGTCCCACTTCGCTAGCTGAGAGGGGCGCGCAGTGGTTTATAAGCCCCACTGTCGCACCCCTCTCGAGCTCCTCTTCATTGCAGGCTTTCGGGCCTAATTGTCACTGGTATGCCCGATGGGCCTACTGGGCCTTCTGCGGGCCTGAATCCTGGCCCATGGATGGGTTTCTAATCGTATTCAGGCCGTGGAGGCCCAGTAGGTGGCATATTTTTTATTTTTTCCCTGTTTTTTTGTCTTCTTTTTTGCTTTATTTATTTAGTTTTGTTTCTACTTACAACAAAAAAACTTATTTTATTTTATTTTGCTATTAAAGTTTCTAACAAAAAAAGTTCTTTATGAAAACTCCTTTTGCTTTTAATGATTTTGAACAGAAAATACTTTGATAATTTTAGTTGCATCAATTTTATATGTAATTTTAGTTTCAATAATACTAGAGATTGCTTATAATGTTTTGAACAGAAAATACTTTG